GGTGGGAGAGGGAAGAAACTCCATTGAAGACGAGAGCAAGGACGTGGTGGGTTGGGTATCGAAGTTGAGATGGTGCTCGAAGTGCTCACGCCAGCGCTCGACGTTGGCCGAGTTTTCAGCGATAAGGCCGCCATTCACGTCGCGAACAAAGTCACTCAGTGTTGAGGGCTTACCGCTAACTTGGCGGATCAGACGGTAGAGTTTTCGATTGTCATCAACGTTCGTGGCCTGTTCCACGGGGGTGGCTATTTCAGCCTAATATTGCTTCCGGTCATCCCTGCACGATTTCGCCGTCATCTTCCGAAGTTGGCGGAAGCAGTCATCAATGCGGGACTTTGCTGGGTCCGTCTGAACGGACAACAGTACTGTTCTTCTGCTGATCAAGTTACTGCGGCGTCGCTGGGTGTATCGAAGGATTTTCTCAGCTGCTCCATACACTATCGTTTTCAGTGACAATCACTAGTTACTGCCTTCTCCGTCACTCGGGTCGTATAACGGGTCCGGATTTCTCTACTCAGGGCCTCGGCAGTACAGGTTTAACGGATTTTTGCGACATCGAGGCGTCTAGGGGGTGGCTTTTTTGGCGTGGATGAGAGGTGAACTTTCAAGCGTGTACGAACGAGGACATGGAGCGGCCCGTGGGCGTTACCAATCTCGGCACCACGCATGGATTTGCTATCGTGAACCCAGATGCGGAACCTGGAGCTAACTAGTATGTAGTCGATCTGACTGGCCGTGTGGCCGTCGTTTGAATACCAGGTCAGCAGGTGCTTCTGCAATGCTGGAAACATGTACTGGTGACAAACAATCGGTTTTGATCAGCTAAGTTTAGCAATCTCTTCCCATTTTCACATTGGAAACCAAGCCAAAAGCGGCCAAGAAGATGACTGGTGGTTGCAAGTGACCGACTAGGCCGATGTGAGACGTGAATGTGCGTGGACAGTGTGGGCAGAGGAAGTCGGTGGTGTCGGCGTCAGTTGCGGGCAAGGTGGTGGGCTCACAGGGCGATGAAGCGAGGGTGGGGTTGGGCATGGTGGGTGTGTTGGATGTGGTGGATGAGTCGGGACTGCGGTCACTGTCGTTCTCGTGGATGCGCATGTGGCCGAACAGGCCATGCGATGCGTGAAAGTGTGAGGGCAGTACCGGCAGACTTGCGTCGCATCTGCCACACACTCTCCTCCCCTTCCAGAGCCGCGTGTCAAGACAGAGTCAAGAAGACCGGAGATGATGAAGGCCGCAGGTGAATGACACGGTCGAGACCGAACCTTGGCCTTCCACCACACTCCCTGGTTCACAAAACAAATAATCAGGTTTTTGACCAACACAACAGAGATTGTAGGCTGGCACGACCGAAACAGCCGTACCTAGGCGTGCCGCCAACGGCTGGCTCGGATCCCACACAGTGGAAGTGCCATAGAGGCCACATCAAGAAGGAGCCATTACAGCCTGACTCTCAGACCACCAGCCGACCACTCCACTTAAACACAAAACACGGGGCCAACTGCGAGGTCCAAGTTATCCCGTCAGTTGGCAACCTTCCAAGCCACGGCTTTTGTCGTCCCGTGATAGCGTCAAGCGCGTCAGATGGTTTATAATTAAGAGGAAAATGCGCTGAGTCGTCGACCTCACTCTCTGTTGCCATTTTCACACCGCAGCCCCTGTCCGAACCGGTCAGCTGACTGCAGCGAGAAATGGACGCGGTGGCTGACGTGGTCTAGTGATCTTGTCTGCGCGCACCACATGCACGACCTGCCCTCCCCCCCTCCCCCCCACAATCACAAACACCAGGATTTCGCACAACGGGGGTTGAGCGACGTATCTCTCATTTGCGTGAGAGTGCCGTGGAAAGAGCTGTATCGGCCCGACCTCGAGCCCACCAGTCCGCCATTACGCACAAACACACACAACTGGACGGACTGCGTGGACAGAGTTGGGGAACATATCATCAACCTTCATATCCCTAGCGCTTGGCGCGTCGGGATGGTCTCAGGCTCGAGTCACTCGTGAAACAGGAGCCGTATGGAGACCGAGTCGAGAGGCGCACTTCCCACTTGCGTGAAAGGTGGCAGTTGGGTGCTTGCGGTGGGTGATGTCGATGTGTGGTGAGATGGTAGCCAGGGAGGGAGAGTGTGGTGGTGTGGTGCAGCCGGCGGTTGTCTACCGCAGGTTTTCGTGGATGCGCATGTGACCGAATAGGCCCATACGATGCCCGAAAGTGCGAGGACAATGTGGGCAGTTGAGACGAGCTTGGTGGGTATAAGTTGGTGCCCCAGGCACTGGTTCTCCAGTCTCTGTGCGATGGATTCGCAAGTGACCGACCAGGCCGATGCGTGAGGTTAATGTACGTGGACAGTGTGGACATGAGAAGTCGGTGGTGTCAGTGCCAGCTATGAAGGAGGCGGTGATTGTGGTGGTGGCGCAGATGGATGCAGCGAGGGTGAAGGTGTGCACAGTGGATGTGTTGGATGTGGTGGGTGTGTCGGGAGTGCGGTCAATGCCGCTCTCGTGGATGCGTATGTGGCCGAATAGGCCCATGCGATGCCTGAAGGTGCGAGGACAGTGAGGGCAGTGGAGGCGAGTGTGGTGGGTGCAGGTTGGTGCTCCAAGCACTGATTCGTCAGTCTCTGTGCGACAGATCCGCAAGTGACCGACCAGGCGTTTGCGTGATGTGAAGGCGCGGTCGCAGTGAGGGCAGGTGTAATCCTGGTCCTCATCCCTGACGACAACGGTGGTAATGTTGATGGGTGAGGATGTGGAAGGATTGTTTGCAGTGTTGATGTGCGTGGGGGCGCCACAACGGCAGACCTTGGAGAAGCGAAGGAGGAGGTGGTAGAGGAATAGGAGGACGGTGAGAAAGAGGAGGAAGGGAAGAGGGGAGAGGAGGAGAAGGAAGAGGGGGGGAGTCCGATAAATGCGACCCACCCAACACCAGTTGATGGGCAGCTTATTTCCAGAAGGCTGCGCAGTCCTGCCGATTCTGTCACATCGATTTCTGCAGCTCCTTACTGTCGGTCATCATAATAAAGACATTATTTTTACTGTGGCAACCAAGGGGTCGGTGAGAAGAAGCCTCGAAGCCAAAAGACTCCTTTTTACGCGATCCGGATCCTTCGCGAAGACAAGGAGGACGTATATGCTCAGGAGCTGCTGGAACTGCCACAAGGACAAAAGTGTGCCGACTCCGTAGCCCATGTTCCTCCACCTCCACTATCCCCTGCCCCTTCGCCTTTTCCAATCCCTTCTTCTTCTTCTTCTTCTTGTTCTTCTTGTTCTTCTTCTTCTTCTTCTTCTTCTTCTTCTTCTTCTTCTTCTTCTTCTTCCTCTTCTCCTCATCGCTGTGGTCGTCACGTTCACCATCCTGATCGTTTAGTTATGCGTTTCTTCTCCGGCGCGTTTTACGTCGCCCTCCGACCTGACTTGGACTTGGACTGTAGCGTAGCTAAGCTGGTTTTCGACACTACCGTTCGTCGTGCTCTGATGTCTGGTCATTTTACATTTTGAGTATCAATTTTATTCACCAACCGGCGTGACTTACTGATCTTAGTGCTTAAGGCCTGAGACGTATCATTAGTTAGTCTGTGGGAACATTATCATTTAAGTCAGTTCATGCACGAGTGGCTGCAGTATTCGTAGGATGTAGTCGCCATGCTACCGCATACCTATGAAATTTCACAGTTCCCCCCTTCCCTTTGCACTTAGCGTGATGACTGTTCGATGGACGACATTCATCGCTGTAATTTCATCGCGGCTGTTGGATGTTGGTGTGATGATTGCTCGACCATCTGACCCACCGACTCTGACGTTGGGAACAGTGCCCACGTGTGCGCTTCCCGAGTGTCTAATTACTCCACCTAAGCAAAGTCGCCGCAACGAGTATGGAAGGCGAAGGTCATTGTACTTGTTAATAGACTGGAGGCAAGTGAGCCATGACTCAAACGACTCCCGGCTCACGCGGTCGTTAAATCTAACGAGAATTTCGGCCTCGTCGAATTTGAATGTGTGACCGGGTTTCGTCGAATGAGTCGCAACTTGAGTGCTGTCGTCATTTCTCGGCTCTGATGTAGGAGTCCGAATCGTCAGGTGAATAATCCTCTTCTTCCAGCGATTGTGTCTCCTTCTTCACAACTATTTCCTGGAACTCCTCTACTTATGCTCAGATCCGGTTTCTGCACAAGTGTCTGGACAACAATGTGTTACCAAAAGCTCTTTCAGAAAAGCCTCCGGGAACACGGATTGGTCGGGGCGAGCAGTATTTCAGCATGGCGGAAGGATGATCTGAGTGCTCCTCCAAGATTGCTACGCGAGATTTCGCAAGCACCGTCAGAGGACCGACCAAGAGAAGACCAGATGCTGTGAGCTCATATCCGAGATCAGTAAAAATCTGCTCCTGCAGAGGGTGGCTGAACCAGCCCGCGAACAGGGAGCGATGTGCGACGCAGCACTGGAGAACAAATTCCGATAGTTGCCCAATCTATCGCCGACCAAAAACGACGGACTGGTGCACAACCTGTCGTAAAAGGAGCTGATGAATTATCAGATGTAGGTGTTACGACAGGAAGCTCCAATCAGCACGGTTGACGCGAAGCCTATCAACATGCTTGCAGCGGTGGAATGAATCCTTAGTCAGACGGAAGCGATTTAGGAGACTAATAGTCTCATCCGACAACAAGAATCGTCTCTCCTCATGGCTCACAAGTCGCGGGGAGTGCTTTCCAA